CACCCGGCATACAAGACGACCCCCCCCACTTGGAGGCATGTTTTTCAGGGCCAAAAAGTCATCTTGTACGCTGGCAAATACGGTACTTAAAGTGAACCAATAACAGCAAGCTAAAACATGACTGCTTTGAGCAACAGACATCAACAGATTGCAGACGGCCAACAAACAACTGAGAGGGGAAGAGCAGAGCAGAGAGGCAGGGCTCTCATTGAATCAGAAGTAAGGAAGGAACTATTGGTTACTGCTGGATAGACTGACAGTCAACCAAACCCGAAAGGTCCCTCCCAGCTACATCTACTAGAGACAGCATGCAAGGTTGCAAAAACCCCAGCAGTCAAGACTTTTCCATCTCTAATTTTGAAACCCAGGGCATGGAGAATTATGCTGGCTGGATTAAAACCGGGAATGTGGTAAAGTGTGAAATCTTCCAGAAAGAAGTTTCTGGCTCTCTGACGCCACCTCTGTCTCCCTTCAGCTCCTGCATCACCAACTCCTGCCAAGACCCAGCCAGTCCCGACCACCACCTTAAGCCCTGAAGTGCCACTGAAGGACCTCGCGGTGACGGATGTCTCTCCAGACAGCCTCCGGGTGACTTGGTCAGCCCAGCCCAATGCCTACCGCAGCTTTGCCCTTCAGTATAGGGACCCCAAATCCACCGCACCCCCTGGGGAAATCAGAGTCCCAGGGACGGAGCGGAGCGTTGACGTGGTGGGGCTGAGCCCCAGGACAGAGTACGAACTGCAGCTGCATGGGGAGAAGCCCAGCGGACGCTACGATGCTCCGCTCACAACAAAGGCATCGACAGGTACCTCTCTCTCTCTCTGCAATTCACTTCCCCCTGACCGACCAGCCTCCTTTTCCCTCTAGAAGATCTTCTGCAGCTGATGCAAAGGGCATCTCAGGACAGATCATTTTGATCGTATCCGGGAGTTTTTCTAGCCCATTTACTATTTCTCCCCCCTCCCCCCCGATATTTCTTCATTTCAGCTTTTAGCATTTTTGTTTTCCTATTGTGAACTCTAGGTTCAGTGCCGTTTCCTGGGAATCTGAGAGTAAAATTGCATGTCAAAGGAATTGCAATCGTGAGCCGTGAGCCATCTATGCTTAAACTTTTCTTACACTTGCAGCTCACCAGTCTTTAGATCTCTGTATCTATCAGCTTGAAACCAAATCATTTAATTTATTTCATTTTAAACTTAACATTTCTCTTTCTGTCTGGATTGAAACACTGGAGGATCATTCCAGACAGTCCGATTTTAGAGTAAAAATGTACAGTTATTTGCCATTTCTCATTTGCACCTCATCATGTTCATTGCTAATGACTGCTTTGTTTATGCAGATATCCTATTTCCCCAGTGCTCAAGTTGCAATATATTGTATTTGGGAAAATGTAATACAGTACTACTACATTAGTGAATCTAGAGCAGTGGTCCCCAACTTCAGATAATTCAGGTGTTCTCGGACTGCAGTTCCCAGAAACCCTTGCCAGCACAGCTAGTGGTGAAGGCTTCTGGGAGGTGCAAACTAAGAAATACCTGGCTGATCCGAAGTTGGAAACCACTGATCGAGATCACTGATGAGCCTGCTTTGTGACAGTGGTTGAAACGGAACATACCACCTAGTAGATGGTAATCATAGTTTCATATTTAGTAATAGAATTCAGACACAAGCACATAAATGTGCAGTGATTCCTCACTTAATGGCAATAATCCGTTCCAGGAAAATCGCTGTTAAGCAACAACGTCGTAAAGCGAAAATAAAAAGCCCATTGAAATGCATTGAAAACCGTTCAATGCGTTCTAGTGGGCTAAAACCTCACCGTCCAGCGAAGATCCTCCATCCGGCAGCCATTTTCACTGCCTGTATAGCGAGGAATCTGTTCCTAAACACACCGGGGAGCCATTTTAATTATCCGGCGGCCATTTTGAAACCACCGATCAGCTGTTAAAAAAACATCGTTTTGCGAAGAATCGGTTCCCGAAACAGGGAACTGATCATTGCAAAGCGAAAAAACCCTATTTAGACCATTGTTTTGCGATCACAAAAGCTATCGCAAAAACGTCGTCGTGAAGCGGATTTGTCGTATTGCAGGGTAATCGTAAAGCGGAGCACGACTGTAGTTCCATATTAATGAAAGGTTAAAACCTTCTGAAACCCAATACTTTGGAATAATCATAGAATCATATATGTCTCTGAAGATTCGCAGTCATCGAGGTGTGGTTATCTGGACGTTGAGTTGTGGCAATTGGACTTCTTTCATATGGAATAATGGACTTGGAAGAGGCCTATAAGGCCATAGAGTACAACCCTCTGCTCAGTCCAGAAATACAAATCAAAGCAGATCTAATGGATGGTTATACAATTTTCTGTTGAGTACTTCCAGCACTGGAGTGCTCACCACCTCCTGAGGTCATTGGTTCCATTCTCATACTGCTCTAACAGTTAAAACATTTTCCTGATAGTCAGTCTAAGTCCGGCTTCCTGTAGCTTGAGCCCATTGTTACGTGTCCTGCACTCTGAGATGATTCGAGAGCAGATCCTGCCCCTCCTCTGGATGACAACCTTTCAACTTATCAATGACCTAATATCCTAAGGATAAAAACAAAGAGGTTTTTCCTGGGGGGGGTTGTGGGAGGGGGGTGTTTAGGCTTTGCTTCTCTTCAAGCTATTTATGTTTTATTTCCCCCAGCCTCTTAGCGCAAACTGGACCATCTCACCTTTCAACCACACCGATCTACATTTTTATATTTATTTTATTCCCCCCAATTTAGCCTCACAGAACGTAGAGGAGCAGGACGCTGTTCCACCCAGCCTAGGAGAGCTGTCCGTCTCTGAGGTCACCCCCGATTCCGTACGTCTCTCTTGGACTGTCCGCACGGGGAACTTTGACTCGTTTCTCGTCCAGTACAAGGATTCCCAGGGCAAGACCCAGGCTCTCCCTGTGGATGGGGTCTCCCGTGAGGTCCATGTTTCCAGCCTGGTTCCTTCCCACAGATACAAGTTCAACCTCTTTGGCGTCTCGGGGCGCAAGCGTGTGGGCCCCCTCTCCACCGAAGCCACGACAGGTCAGCAGCAAGGATCTAACCATCTTTCCCAGAATGTGAAGACATTAAATCCTCCACGAGTTCTATTTGTTGCTGTTGAAGCAGTAAAAAATTTAATTCATGAACTGATTTTATGTTTGCCTCCCTAAAACTCAGAAGAATCCCACCCTAGACCCAACAGCAGGAATGGGTCCTATTACAAGACTAGCATTTCGCATTTAAAGCTACCTTTTTTAAGCAATTGGTTAAAACTTTATCAAATTAGAGGTAATAATTTTGTTTTAAAGGTGTCATTTCCAAGCCCGTCAGTTTAAGGCAGTGGTTCTTAAGCTTGGGTCCCCAGGTATTCTTGAACTCCCAGAAGCCTTCGCCCCTCGCTGTGCTGGCCAGGATTTCTGGGAGTTGTAGTCCAAGAACATTTGGAGAGCCAAGGTTGGAAATCATCTTTCCCAGAATGTGAAGACATTAAATCCTCCACGAGTTCTATTTGTTGCTGTTGAAGCAGTAAAAAATTTAATTCATGAACTGATTTTATGTTTGCCTCCCTAAAACTCAGAAGAATCCCACCCTAGACCCAACAGCAGGAATGGGTCCTTATTACAAGACTAGCGTTTCGCATTTAAAGCTACCGTTTTTTAAGCAATTGGTTAAAACTTTATCAAATTAGAGGTAATAATTTTGTTTTAAAGGTGTCATTTCCAAGCCCGTCAGTTTAAGGCAGTGGTTCTTAAGCTTGGGTCCCCAGGTATTCTTGAACTCCCAGAAGCCTTCGCCCCTCGCTGTGCTGGCCAGGATTTCTGGGAGTTGTAGTCCAAGAACATTTGGAGAGCCAAGGTTGGAAATCACTGGTTTAAGACTAATTCACACCAACATTTTGTTTGTGGTTATGGAATTCTGCTCAGATTGGCCTGTTCTTTTTCATCAGTGGGTCATCAGAATGTGATTCCGGCCCGTTTGCTGAAAAAGCAAGGGTAGGCAAAGAGGAACCTGCCAGGATCCCAGTGGCTCTTACACTCCCAGTAGAGACTCAAATTTCCCCCCAGCAACAAAAAAATCTGGCTGCAACCTTTACATAAAACATTTTCCCTAATGTCATCTCCAAAAACTCAAATCTCAAAGCCAGAAATGGACATCTGAACAGTTCATTTTTTAAACAAATCCTATTTCTAGATCTAGGACAACCCACTATATATGCTGGTTTGTGAATATTTAGGACCCCCGACCTAATATTACCCACCCATGTTACAAAGCAAGAACTGCATTGCTGTTCTTCGTTTGATGCACACAAATCAAAGTGATTTCATTCATAAAAAATGATGCCTTGATGGCTGCATTATATTTAGCCTCTTTAAAATGCTCCGCCTTGTGACTCTTTGTGCGCTGGATCATGAAGTGCCCTGGTTCAAAACATTGGAATGTTGCCATGCTTCCATTCAGATCTGAAAGAAAGACTCATTTTGGCTCATTTCCCAGAGCTTTGGTAATCTCTCCCGTCATTATAAAATGGAAGTTGAGAAATAGCCATGACAATTTTATTTTTTATTGGAATACAGTACAGTGGTGCCTCGCATTACGATATGGAATACAGTACAGCGGTGCCTCACATTACGATGTTAATTCATTCCAGCGAAATCGCTGTAGAACAAAAACATCGTAATGCAAAAATAAAAAGCCAATTGAAACGCATTGCAACCCCTTCAATGCGTTCCAATGGGCTGGAAACTCACCGTCCAGCGAAGATCCTCCATAGGGAGGCCATTTTCGGTGGCTGTCTTGCGAGGAATCCGTCCCAGAAAACAGCGGGGAGCCATTTTATTTACCTGGCAGCCATTTTGAAACCACCGATCAGCTGTAGAAAAAATGGCGTTTTGTGAAGAATCGGTTCCCGAAGCAGGGAACTGATCATTGCAAAGCGAAACAAGCCCATTTAGATCATCATTTTGCGATGGCAAAAACGTCATCGTAATGCGGGGCAATCATAATGCGAGGCACCACTGTAGTCAAACAAAGTGGTCATTCGATAGGAGATGAAAGGTGCCTCATAGCCTGAATAGGTGCAGAGATTCTGTTGAAGTTTTGCTTAAGAAATATAGTAAATGCCTCTTTCTTTCAGTTGGCATCTCTTTATCTATTTTAGCCTCCACTACAACTTCCCGGGAAGGGGAAGCCGCCGCTCAGCCCATCCTGGGAGAGCTCTCAGTCTCTGACGTTTCCAGCCGTTCCATTCACCTCTCTTGGACCGTCCGGTCTGGCAACTTTGACTCTTTCCTAGTCCAGTACAAGGACGCCGAAGGCAAGCTGCAGACGTTGCCGGTGGAGAGGGATTTCCGTGATATCATTGTCCCCAACCTGATTCCTTCCCGCAGATATAAGTTCAACCTGTACGGTGTCTCTGGGCGTAAGCGCTCAGCACCCGTCTCCACGGATGCCACTACAGGTCAGCAAACAGGCAGCCACAGCAAGCGTCCGATGGGTGAAAGTCAGCAATAAATCATGCTTTCACTTATTTTCTCGGGAAGCACATCCAGCAGAAATATAGTCCTCGGTGAAGAGCAGTACCAGAATGTGGCACTAGAGATGGGCATGAATTGGTTCGTCCCAGTTCATAAAGGCAGGTGCTGCTGCTCCCCAACCTTGCCTCCTTAGCCAATCAGTCACCCACCAGGCCCAGCTTGCTTGTTTTTCCCACCTCCTCAGCTGATCTCCCAGTCAGGAGCAAGAGCACAGACCTCTCTGCCCCGCCCTTTTCTCCGAGTGGGGAGATCAGCCAAGAGGGCGGGGCAAAGGAGCCTGATCTGTTGCCGGGACTGGTAGATCTGTTGAACATCCGGGAGGCTGGGCCTGGTGAGTGGGATTGAGCTAGAAGAAGCAGAGGAAGGGAGCAGCAACACCTCGGCTGCCGCCTTCACGAACTGGGACGAACTAGGATGAACATGGCATGGTTCCTTTTTTTGAACTACACCTCCCAGAATCACCCAGTCAGTGTTGCCACTGGGCATTCTAGCTGGGGGATTCTGGAAACTGGAGTCCAAAAAGAACCTTAATTGGTGCTCACTGTTTTTCAGAGGATAAAACCCTCCAAAACCCTAGAGAATTTAAGGAAATCTGTTCTAGAATAATTTTCGCCAAGGTATAGAGAAGGTACACAGCCGAAATGCATGGCTTTGCCTTTCAGTGGTCCTTATAATGCCAGAGGTTTTGAGGCTTTGAGTCAAAACAAATTCAAAATCAAGTTTAGTTGAATTTAAAAAAATGTAATTCCCAGTGATGAAAAGCCACAGTAATGAATTTATTTATTTATTTTATTTAACTTACATATATGCCGCCCACACTACCCAAAGGTCCCTGGGCGGCTTACAACAATTAAAATACAATTAAAAAAGATAAAACAATTAAAATACAATTAAAATATATACTCTAAAACTTGCCACCAGGACCCACGGTTGATATTATTTCAATTAAATATTGAAAAGCTGTAGTTAGTCACTCTGAAGTGATATCATTGCCATTTGAGGATTAAAACGACACATCTTAAAGGCATTCTGTGCTGTCACACACAAAGACACAAAGACCATTTTGTAATTACAGCTGAAGAGTTTTCCACAGCCAGATCCTGCCTGCTGGGTCTCAGCTCTGAAAGGCTGCTGAACCCTTTTGCCAAATTAGGGCTACGAAGTTTGTTTCTAATAATTTCTTTCCGACTTCTGCTTCGTTGGTTTTGGCCTCAGTCAATATTAAACAACTGCTGTCTTCATGTGGGAGGGTTGCAGGGGTAAGAACATACATACAGTGGTGCCTCGCATTATGATGTTAATTCGTTCCAGCGAAATCGCTGTAGAATGAAAACGTCATAATGCGAAATTTAAAAGCCCATAGAAACGCATTAAAACCTGATTAATGCATTCCTAGGGGCTTGAAACTCAGTGTCCAGCGAAGATTCTCCATAGCACGTCCATTTTCGCTGCCTGTGCAGCGAGGAATCTGTCCCAGAAAAGAGCGGGGAGCCATGTTTTTTACCCAGTGGCCATTTGGAAACCGCCCATCAGCTGACCGAAAATCATCACTTTGCGAGAATCGGTTCCTGAAGCAGGGAACCGATCATCGCAAAGCGAAATTCCCCCATAGGAAACATTGTTTTGCGATCACTTTTGCGATCGCAAAGCCTTCAACGTAAAGCGATTTTGTCGTAAAACGGACCGCTCGTAATGCGAGGCACCACTGTAATTCTTCTTGCCTTAAGGGAAGTCGAATGGTAAATCTTTGCATTCTAATCATGGTTTAATTATTACAGGAGCAGAATTTCAGGCCTCCATGACGTGTGATTTACTCTACCCTCCCCCCAACCTTTCCACTCTTGTAGGCCCAGCACCGTCAATATCGCCAGAAGAAGTGGACATCTCGGCCCCCACACAGCCCAGGCTTGGGAAACTCTCGGCTTCCAACATTTCTAGCGATTCCCTCCGGCTTTCCTGGACTATCCTTGCAGGGAATTTTGACTCTTTCTTGATTCAGTACAAAGATGCCGAGGGCAAGCCTCAGGCTCGGCCTGTGGATGGCGGGGCCCTCCGTGAAGTCACCATCTCTGACCTCGCGCCTTCCCATCGGTACCAGTTCAACCTTTATGGAGTCTCTGGGCTCAAGCGAATTGGCCCCATTTCCACTGAGGCTGAGACAGGTCAGCTGTGGCCACAGCATCATTTTTTTCACAGGGGACGGTGATCTCTTTCCCTAGGGAGGTGAGGCAGTTGGGACTCCCCTCTATATCTGAGCTTGGAGAAGCTAATTTCTGGACTAGAACTCGCATGCCCCCCAACCAGTGTGGCAGTGATCTGTAATGCAGACCTGGTGTGCCTATAAATAGAAATTAAAACAATAGCTTTTGGATGTGCAGGTATCAGATTTACTTAGTATTATAAGACAAGGGTGTGCAGTGATGATTGGCTAGTAATCATCCCAAGTGTTAACCAATAGTAGTAGTAATAGTAGAAGTAGAAGTAGTAGCAACACACCAGGCATAGTAGTAAGAGAACGAAGAAACGTCTGGATGATTGACATTGCAATTCCAAGAAATGCCAGAGTTGAAGATAAAGAATTGGAGAAACTAACAAAATACAGAGACCTGGAAATTGAAATATCTCGCAAGTGGATGGAACGTACCTCAGTGGTCCCCATAGTCGTTGGGGCTTTGGGAACAATGTCAAGAGATTTCACATGGTATAATAAGCAGCTGCAGATTCCAGAAATAACATCACCTGAGCTACAAAAAAAGAGGCAATATTAGGAACAACATATATAATATGTCAATATTTAACAGATACTTAGGGATTGGTTTAAATCTTGTATCTGTTATGTAATACCAGTAAATATTTTTTTTATAATTTTGATTGACTGTGCCTGGTAGTTTTGAATATTCTTGAATAACAATAATAATTCTGACTTAAGAGAACCCCTTTCAGAGTTTCCCAGGTAGAGGATACTCAGAAGTGATTTTCCCTTCCCTTCCTCTAGGGGGAGCCCTGGGACTGTGCAGCTGGCCCAAGGCCACCCAGGCTGGCTCTTCTCACAGTGGAGAATTGAACACCAGTCCCAACTTCTGGCTCTGCAGTCGGATCCCTAAACCCCTGAGCTCTCCAGCTAGCATTAACCAAACATGAACATAATTATGGATGCGGAAGCAATGCCTTTCTCTTTGGTCCTTTGCTTTTTTAATTTTGTCAGCCTTGTTCTGGGCCGTCAAGCCGGAACCAACTTATAGTAACTCTAACAGGGTTTTCAAGGAAAGTGAGATATTAAAGGAGTGGATTTACCAGTTCCTCTCCCCTCCCCAGTGAGTTTTCCACAAGATTCAAACTCAGGCCGAGTCTGTCACTCTGACCACTGCACCGTACAGTCTACAGAGACATAACTAAATATCTGGGCAGTGAGTAGTAATTAGCAAAGCTCTGATCCCTGTGTGATGGGCATTCACTCCCTGGTCCTCTCTGTTTCAGCCCCGCTGATGGAGAAACCTACTCCTCCCATCAGGCTGGGGGAACTGACAGCTGCCAACGCCAGGCCAAACTCTCTCGATCTCTCCTGGACTGTCGAAGAGGGGACTTTTGACTCTTTTATCGTCCAGTATCGAGATGCTCAAGGCAAACCCCAAGCCCTCCCGGTGGACGGGAGCCTGCGTTCTCTTCACCTCCACGACCTGGCTCCCTCTCACCGATACAAAATCAACCTGTACGGCATCTTTGGCAGAAAACGCCTTGGTCCTGTCTCCACCGAAGCAGTGACAGGTCAGCAGAGGGGCTTCAATGCCGAAAGGGGCCCAACTCTGGCTCTCTCTCTCTCTCTCTCTCTCTCGTTCTCTGGTGCTGTGTTTCCTCCCTAGGGACCAAGGAACGGGAGGACCAGACTTAACCGTCTTCTGCACTGCTTGAGCATCTCCCCTTCTTTCTGTTTGGTCTTTCCCTAATGTTTTTTCCTTTCTTTTCTGATTCGTATAATTCGGTTTCAGACACCAGCCTTCTCCTGTTTTTCTCCTCTCGCCACTGACTGGGGTTCAGAAGCTTTACCCTTGTCTTCCATAAATTCCTCAAGCCATTCTGTAATATTTTTTATCCTCCGTTTGTTCTTCAGCGCCCTTGCCAACCACGCCACCACCTCGACCCACCTTGGGACAGCTCTCGGTCTCAAATGTCACTCGCGATTCTGTTCATCTTTCCTGGACGGTTCCCACTGGAAGCTTCGACTCCTTCGTGATCCAGTACAAGGACGCAGAGGGAAAGCCACAGTCGCTGCCTGTGGAGGGGGAGACCCGTGAGGTCACGGTCCCCGGCTTGGTTCCTTCCCGCAGATACAAGTTTAACCTCTATGGAGTCTCTGGGAAAAAGCGTGTTGGGCCCATTTCTACTGATACGCTCACAGGTAGGGATGTGAAAATCTCTCTGCTCTCAGAGAACGTACGTGTGTGAGTTCCTTAACCCTCTCCCTGCCATTTTTCTTTTCTGTTCACTCCGTCAATCGATCAGTCTGATTCATTTGCCTTACAGTGATGCCTTGCTTAATGACGTTAATTCGTTCCAGCGAAATCGCTGTAGAGCGAAAATGTTGTAAAGCGAAATAAAAAAGCCAATTGAAATGCATTGAAAACCTTTCAATGCGTTCCAATGGGCTGAAAACTCACCGTCCAGCGAAGATCCTCCATAGGGGCAGCCATTTTCAGTGCCCATGCAGCGAGGAATCCGTCCCTAAGCACAGCGGGGAGCCATTTTCTTCAGCCACCGGCCATTTTTTAACCCAACGATCAGCTGTTTTTGATTGTTGTAAAGCGAAAATCAGTTCCCAAAGCAGGGAACCGATCATCGCAATGCGGAAAAACCCCATTCAGACCATTGTTTTGCAATCGCAAAAGCGGTGGCAAAAACCTCACCGTCAAGCGATTCATCATTAAACGAGGTAATCGTAAACCGGGGCACGACTGTATTTATAAGCAACCTTTCTCCCAATAAGGGGACTCATAGGATTAAAAAGAATAGAATTAAAAACAAATAAACTATACATTTAAAAAAATGTTAAACTATAATACTGATTGAAATACACTGAATGATTTGAAACTTTTAAAACAAACTTAACTAAAAACAGCGTTCAGGAACTCAGTTATGAGTACAGTGGTGCCCTGCAAAATGAGCACTTCGTTTAACGACAAATCTGCATAGCGATGATTTTTTTGCGATCGTTTTTGCGATCGCATTGCGATGTTTTAAATGGTAAAACATCGCTTTGCGATGATCGGTAAGCTGTTTCGCTTACTGATTTTCGCATAGCAATGTTTTTAGAACAGCTGATTGGCGTTCCAAAATGGCCTCTGGGTAAATAAAATGGCCGCCCGCTGTGTTTTTGCCCGGAGTCCTCGCTTACCGGGCAGCGAAAATGGCGGCTGTATGGAGGATATTCGAATAACAGTGAATTTTTTGCCCACAGGAACGAATTAAACGTGTTTTAATGCATTCCTATGGGCTTTTTTGTTTCGCATAGCGACGAATCCATATTTTTCTGGAACTGATTATCGTCGCTATGCACGGTTGTGATTCTTTACATTAACTTTCATATATATTTTTTTAAAATGGGTAAATGCAAAAGAATATAATCTGTGAACTGTGGTTTCTTCCCAAAGACGGAGGACGTGGGCTGTCATCTTCAAAAGCTCACACTGATACAAATCACAATATTTTATGCCACAGTGTTTTTGTTATTAGAGATGGGCACGAACCATGGGTTTGTGAGTTCGTGCCAGTTCGTTGAGCAGCTGAACAGGTGTTTGGTTTCAAAGCCCCACCTCCTCCACTGGGCACCCACTCAGAGACAGCACCCGGAGGAGGAAGGGTAGGGAAGTTAGGCTATTGTCTCTGAGAGGATGCCTGCCAGAGGAAACAGTACTTTGAAGCTTAGTCACTAAATTAACTAGCACAAATTACCAAACTGACTGTTTATGCCCATCTTTTGTTATTCATTTTGAGTTATTAATATTAAAGATGATTTTTAGCTTATGTTATTGTGTATTGATTATGGTGCTGGAAACTGTGTTCTTGTGCTGAACCGTAGGATTTTTCTAAAAGCTTGGTATTTTTGATTTTTTGTGTTATGTTTTATTTGTTTTATTGCAGCTTTTTGCCAAACACCAAGAGAATTCTTACTAAATTTTTTGTTAAACCCATTTTAAAAAAATATTTATTTCAAATATATTTATTAAATATTTAATGAATCGTGTTTTAATTAAATGTAAATGGATGTAAATAGTGGCTTTTCCTCTATGTGCACATGGATTATTACTTTACTTTAAAATTCATCCTTCTCTTCTGATCATCTCTGTTCTTCCAGCATCGTTACCAGAGGAACCTCCAAGTTTGGGGGAACTCTCTGTTTCAGATATCACCAGCGATTCCGTCCGTCTCTCTTGGACAATCCGCACTGGGAGTTTTGATACTTTCCTGATCCAGTACAAGGATGCCCAGGGCAAGCCTCAATCAATCCCAGTGGAGGGAGTCTTTCGTGAGCTCACTGTCCCAAATCTCATCCCATCCCGCAGATACAAATTCAACCTCTACGGAGTCACTAGCCGCAACAAGCGACTTGGCCCTGTTTCGACGGATGCTGTCACAGGTCAGCTTAATTCGAACTCGGTCTTTTCTTGAACATCTGTCTTCGGTGCCAATCCACACAACCAAGGGAAAAAGTAAAATGCAGTGGTTGCACAACAGAATTGTGGCGTTTTAGTATCAGAAAGGACGGGAGGGGTTCATCTGGCCCACCACAAGAATCTTGTGATTACAACATCTTGGATGAATGGCTGTCTAGGTTTTGTTCAGGTGCTCCTGTTCAAGGCATCTCCGGGTAGCTGGTCTGGCATACTTCTAAATATTGTTCAGTTTCATCTCAAGCTAGAAACAGACATTAAAGATAGCTGTTTATTGGTAGGTGAGAATCTTTAATTAATGAAAACTTGCAAGTGTCAGAACAAGAGCTTCTCTCACCTCTGGGGAGTATGCAGATTAACTACCACATTTTTCTGTGTATAAGATGCCCCCATGTATAAGACGCCCCCACTTTTCTAACCCAAAATTAATATATCTAAGTGGGGCTTAGCAAATGAAGGGTAAAAAGGATCAAAGTGCTGCAGGATGGCTTTGGTCCCTGCTTTCCCTTGAGGGAAAGGGATCAAAGCAATTCCATGACTGCACAATTATTTCGATCCCTTTCCCCCTTATACAGCCACGGGATTGCTTTGATCCTTCCCCCCTCCTTTTGCTAAGCCCCATGGGACTTAGCAAGCAGAGGGGAAAGTAGGAATCAAAGCGATCCTGCAGCACTTTGATCCCTCCTTTCCTTTTGCTAAGGCTTAGCAAGTGGAGGGGAAAGCAGGGATCAAAGCCCTGCAGGATCACTT